AACTCAGTTGACACTGTAGTTGTTGGCTTCGATAATCTTTTTGATGAAAATCTTATTAGTATTGCCATAGGCTTCTTGTATAAATTCCTTAATACAAAACATGCATATCTAATTTGAAACAAAAAAATCAATTCATTAACTCACATAGTAGCTGCAGAACTGTAGCGTTATGGTTTTATATTTTAGTCCAATGACTAAAATATAAAACAATAAAATATAAAGTCATAACGCTACAGTTCTGCAGCTACTCACATAGCAGCAAGATTCGTTGAGAGATTACGATCAAACGAAAAATACATGAAGTTTTATTAATTAAATATATCAATGTTAACTTGGCGATTCTGCAATCATTTCGCTTTTTGCAGCCACTTTTAAAGACAGATTGATAAAGAAGAGCTTTGATCAATATTCCAAACTGGCATGACTATTTATTTGGGATCAGGTCTAAAGCCAAAATGATAAATCCCACAATTCCCAAAATAATTCCACCAATATAACCAATAAACGCGGACGACGGTCTCTGGTCCTCTGCGCATGTCAGCTTACGGATTGTACCAGACAGCGAGGAGACGTCCACTGTTAGATTGGCCTTAATACTATTAATTTTATCCTCCAGAGTGACATTTAGAATTTGGCAGGAGGGATTACTACAAACACATGCAACAGATGGCGCCATTGTAGCCAAATGAGATGACGCAGACACAAGTGTTGTTTGTCTTACATTTGAAATAGTTGAGATTTCTGTAGTTTCCGTTTTTATTGAAGTAGTAGATTGATAAGCTGTACTAAGTCTTTCCTGTGCAGCAGACGTTAAATAACTTCCGGTAGTTTGAATATTTGCAGATGAAGTGGCTGATTTCTGTACAGTGGTTTTTGGAGCTAGGATAGTCATGCTGCCTGTACTACAGTAAGTGATCGTCGGATCCAGTATCTCCTCAACAAATGGGAGTTGACACTGGCAGATGACTTTATCGTTCGGTATACAGGGTGTTGTTCTCCAAGTATAACCGAAAGATTCACTCTTTGTTACGCAGCTCGGTGTGAGAGGATGAATATTTGTTCCACTCATCCAGTTTTCATAATCAGTCGGTAAAAGTCTTTTGTCATCATTCCAGTTCCAGAACAAGTCAACGTTCCTTAGTTTCAGTCCTAAAGTCAAATTTTTAATATTATTGCTTTTCATTAATTCAGTCAAATGTAAATCCATGGGTAGAGTTTTAGGCATGACAATGTTTGCCATATATTGCACATTGCAGACCTCTTGTTCGGAAAGTCCTGTCAACGGTAACACAAGATAACAAATATTACCATAAAGTGGCCTGCTCCACCCCGCGGGACATTCATACGCTGTATTCAGACGCTGACAAAGAAATGGCTCGTCTTTGTCGGAATCAACCCCTCTCCATGTATATCCTTCATTTTTCTCCATAATAAAGGTAAAATATTCAGAGCCGTATTTATTTGCACCCCAGTTGGAATAACCCAAAGGAACTCCATTTAGCCAAAAGTAATGGTTCTGTATTTTTCTTAGACCGATCCACGTCTTTTTTACATCATCCTTGGAATACTTAATCACGGATTTTAGTTCTTCCAGCTTTTCAGCTGTTTGGGGCATTGGTAAAAAGGCATTATGTTCCTTGTTGCAGTGATCATGTGCATCTTCAAACGTCATACCACGAGAGTGGTAGCCGTAACAGAAATTCCCGTCTATTTCCCAACCGCTACTGGTACAACTGTTAGCGTTACAGCCAATTATGTATCCAACGATATAAAAAAATGTTATTTTGTCCATTTTCTCGTCACTTATAAATTGTAAATCAGAGATGACTTTTCCATGCTTTCATAACACGTTTAGATATTATGCTTTCTTCCAATCTCTAAATATTGCTGGACTAATAAAAAATTTCTATTTAAACTTAGGAACCAAAGTTGTATAAGATCAACATTTATAACTGGTAAACAGAAAGTCGGATTTTAATGGATAATATCGAATGAATTTCTTGATTACTGATATAATGTTTACCCATTTTTTTTTTAAATAGCACATATTTACAAATCGGGTTTTGTTAGTGCTGAGTATGTTACTAAATATTGGACACAAAATTTTGATGGCCAATTGACGTCGATTCAAAATTGGCATTAACACTGAAATAACTATTTAAACATCGGTTAATCAACTGTTAAATGAACTCAACTTCAATGGTCAAATAGATTGTAAATCATGCATGCAGCACAATGTATTCCAGTATAAATAGGGAAAAAAAATGATTCTGTTCACTTTGTGTTTTCGTAAATTTTCTCACTCTGTTTTGACCTTCTAAAACAAAATCTTCCTAAGTGTTTTTCTTCTTTCTCTTCTTTCAACTATAGACATTATACTGGTACATGAAAATGACGATTGAAAGCAATCATTTTGAAATTGCCGAAATTCAGGAAACTCTTTCAAATGTCAACAGAACTATACACTGTAAATTTCTACAATGAATTCCGTCGAGGAGAATGCCAGACCATGGGCTAAATATGGAGGGAAAGATCTATAAAATTAAAGAAGCGTGTTAGACAAAAAGCAAAATGCGTACAAATTTACTATCTCTCCTATCGTTTTCAGTAGACTGGAAATGATAAAAGAATGAACAAAATGTCGTAATGCCAGGCAATAAGGCTTGTAATTAACAAATAAATTCTTTATTTGTAAGACTCATTACAACTGTATTTTAGTCAAACTTGGCTTTAACCCCACACCTGGAAATTCAACTTATACTCATTGATCCCTGTCTAAGGATGAAATTTTTCAAGATCACGTTTTAGTTTAAAACACTTTGAACATTTCACTGGAATGAAAAACTTCATAAAAATCCTTTCCAAGATACATTCCAGGGCCAAGTAAATGTTTTCACCAAATCCTCACCAAAATATTAACTGCCGTGAAGGAGAAAATTCAGACATAGTGTGCTACAACATCCAAGAAGAACTGTTAATCAAACAAGGATTTTCAAAAACTAAAAAAAAAAAGAAACATATAAATATTAAATTCCAATTTCCCCCCATAATCAGTAACATCAAAGCGTATGGCTTTTCAACAATTCTAGGCTTTTTTGTCATTGTATACAACTGGTTTTTTTTTTTCTATAAAAAAGGAACCTCTGAAATGTTTATATTTTGTGATTGGTCATCTTCAAGATTACTTTGTTAAAAATCATTCTAATTCTACACACAAGTACTCTGAAGTTGATATTAAAAAGATGCTGAAGTTCCTCATTGACAATATCTATATATGTAGTCTTTGGAGGTATATTCCATAACAATCCGTTGGAAATTTGATGCGATCCGAACTACTTCTTTAATACCTGTTTTTATTTGAACAATAAAATGCTTTCTTTGGTTGTAAGTTGCAGTTGTTGCTGTTTTCTACAATAGTTGCTATATTGATCCCCATACTAGCAAAGAAAAAGACATTTTAGTGTTTATACATGCATTTATGTTTGTATAAATAATCATATAAAGTAGGATTAAGTATGTTAAGTATTATATGATTGATATGTACGTCATTGTATTTTCATTGATGGAAGAGCCACTTCTCAAAAAATCCATACAGATGGCTTACTTAGTGGCGTTGAAGTACAATGTACTGATAGACGACCGTGATTTTCATAAGAAATAAAGATAATATTCATTGGATGTAAATATATTCTTATGAAGCAGAATTTACTTGTAAAAATCCACATTAAAAGAAAACTCTTGTCGTGACCTTCGATCTTTCCGGCAGTTGTAATTATCAATTAATAGTTACTTTCATGTAAATACATGTATATATAGACTCGAAATATCCCCGTGACCTTGAAATACGTCACACCGCAGAGTCTGTATCCCACATCTTTTCATACATTCGTATATGTATAGATGTGAGTGGTCAAGTACTAACTAAACAATAAGAAAAAAAACAGGACGATTTCATTTTTTTGTTGTTGTCATCAATTTCCCCTATTCCACTATCACCTGCATAGGGTGTTTATGTCTCCCAACTAATTTGATGTGTTCTCAGAATTTTAAATCTATGCAAGCTACTGACAAATGAGTTATCGTTACAGGACTTTCTACAATCTCGTACATGTAATAAGCTTGTATATGCCTATTGTATACTTATCCTTGGGTCGTATTTAGACTATTTTTCTGCTAATTGTGAACATCGTTTTAAGCCTATCCATACCTTGTTTGAAACCTTGATTTTTCTTTTCATGTACATGTATATGATTTGAGGATTTTTTTTCTTTTGATTGTGTTTCGTTGGCTTGTTGATAACTTTTTAATTTTTTAATTGTAACTAATTTATTTATTATTATTTTTAATTTTATTTATTCATTTTGATGAAGGATATTCAATATATGTAATAATAGGACTGGTGAAACATAAAATTTAGATCAATGCTAAAACTTTTAAATGTTGAGAAAAAGAGACCTAAGACCTGTGATTTTGCCTCTTTTGTCTCAAAATACTGTAATAGGAATTTAAATTCGAGTTTTAAAAATAAAAATTTGAAATCAGTTGCACATATCGTTTTCTAACGTAAATATTGCTATTTTTTAACAATTCCTTTGTTATCTATATGTAATATCTGAACATGACTTGGAGAGCGACACCCAAAAGCACTACAACAATAGACTCCCGACCCTGCAGACCTTGTCGAATACTTAGTTTATATGTAGTATAGTTTTAATGATTTTGGAAAACCAAAAAAAAGTTATTTTTGTTTTTCCTACAGGCCACAATACTAAAAAATAGATAATAATACATCTAAAGAAATTTAACTTTATTTAGAAATGCTAATTATAATACACTTGGTTTGATTTGATAAGACATCAGCATACATACATGTAAGTCTATTTATCGATTTTCAGTATTTTGATGAATGTGCTGTCATGATGCTGTAATTACACAAGTTTAAAAGAAAAAAAAATTAAATGGGTATTCGAACCCAATGTTTGTTTACAGAAAAAGGTACAGACATATTAGTATGTTTATTCACCAATCAAGGGCCCTCAGGGGGGCTACAATTATATCAGTATGATAAAATATAAATCATTTCTACAAAAGAGTTAAAAATAGAAGATGTATAATACCATACTTATGATATTCATGAAAGTGTAAAATATTTAATATTTCCACAATTGTCTGAAACTGGGTCAAAAATATTGAAGAGGTACAAACCACATGAAGATATAGATAATATCATGTATTGAATAATTGAAGACATTAGAATAGGTTTCATGTCTCTACATCTTGCAGTTTATTACGATTAAGTTTATCACTGTTTTTATTAATGCACTGTAACTGCACATGAAGGGTTAAGTATGCAGGGTACTACTTGTGTTTCACAGTTGTTATATAAATCTTATATACTATTTTAAAAGATTAAAATTAACACTTAGAGAAACACTGAAGGCAAGTAGAATATATCAAAACTGTGTACCACTAATCAACTGATAAATAACTCTCAAAATATTAAAACTGTAAATCATCTCTTCTAAACATTAATATATTGCACTGTTTTGGAATCATTAAACTATGGTCTTATGTTGATTTTGTCTGGAGAAGCTCCTGGTATGGCTACCTTTTGGCAACAGAGGATAACTGGTCTCGGATTTTACTAAGTCCATCTAACATTGTGTCTAGTGTCTCTTTAGAAAGTTCAACATTCACATTATTGATTTCTGGGACTCTACCAACTTCAGTTTGGTTTTCCTGAACCTAAAAAAAAAAATAGAAGGAAACAAATGAAGTAAATCTGAAGGAGAAAACTGTAAAACTCTTTGCAGTGTGAATCCAACAGTTGATACTTCAGTATCTCAAATAAGATATCTTGAATACCATGGATATGTCAAAGTCATATGGAAGTCCTCACCACTTTTGCTTGATGTATCATACCCTCAATATGTCGAACCCTCATTTATCTGCAAGTTTTTTTCTTGGTTCCATCGAGATAAATAACAAGGTTTTCTTGGTCCCATTCAGAAAAATTACAAAGTTTGACTGCATCTTTATGCCCAAAAAATATTGGTCTTTATTCACATAAAAAATATTCTTAATGGAACAACACTGTAAGCAGAACAACATATTGATATTTGGAATATTATATAAAACAATTTACTAGATCCAGTGACTGGCACATGGTAAAATGGACATTAACACAAAACAACACAAGAATACTCTGTGGCAAGTTTGGTTGAAATTGGCCCAGTGGTTCTAGAGAAGAAGATGAAAATGTGAAAAGTTTACAACGACAGACAACGGACAAATTTCAATCAGAAAAGCTCAGTTAAGCCCTCGACTCAGGTGGGCTTAAAAAATGCGGCATTCTTAGGGTTTGAAACCAAGCAATAAAAATCCTAACTAAATGGACTTCAAATATTTCTCAGAAAGATACAAATGCTGTGATAAAAGTGTACCGGTATTTTTAAGGTAGAGTGGGTCTTTGCTCCATCTATTTTTGTTAACCAAAATATGAAAAGTTTTACGCATACTTTGAGTATAATCTTTCAAAATAATGGAGCAAAGACCCACTCATATTTGGAAAAATTGTGATATTGTTTGAAAAATTGATCATTTTGCTCTCTTTGGTGTGTATATGCAATTAAATAGACAAACAATTTGAAATTTTGTGAGATTGTTGCAAATTGTGAAGATTTTACATAAAGTATCCATTATTTCATTAAATTAATGTTAAATGAAATAACAAAGAAAATTTAGTCATAATTGAGTTTAATTTTTCCTTTCTAATTTGTTGCACAATAGGCATTTTGCTCACCTTCTTCACTCATCTTTGTTTTATTTCTTTTAAAAGCTTTGATCAATTTTTAAAGTGGTAGGTAGGGTAATTAGACAGAGTATATTACTGAACTCAGTACATCATTCATTCAAAAGTAAAATTAATTTTTAGATGACTTTGTAGTGATTTTTAACCTATTTTGAAATATGTAAAAAAAGAACTTGTTAAGTTTTCATAGTAACATTAAATTTTGAAATATATCCAGACACATGAAAGTCTGGTGGGCTTTGTCAAAATTGGCACAGACTCAGTGTTTTCCAAAAACAAAAAGCATGCACAAGTACAAACTTGCTCTCACAAAATCTTGATGCAAACTCTACTTTAAAACATTTACAAGGAAACAAACAAGAATGAAAAGTCCCTTCATACAAAAGGGAAGCGTCATGAGGAATGACAATTACTTCCATTTATTATACAGGTGGGAAGGAACATGCAGAGAAATAATAAATACAAACGTACCTTCATTATTATGATACAGGTGGGAAGGTACACGAGGAATTAAAATACCTTCATTTGTATGGTAAAGATAGGAAGGGGCATGAGAAACTTTTTTCCCTACTTGTCCATTCGGACAAGTGACCAAGACATTTACTTGTCCGAACTTCAACTTCACTTGTCCGAAAAATTTTCAATAAAGATCTAATACTGTTAACTGAAAAACTAAAAATAAAGTCCATTACATGTGCATGATGTTATTTACAAATACAACAAACACATAAAACACAATTTTATCTAGACTTTCTGTCCTGACAACATAAATGCTGTCAACATAAAACAGAATCCAAACTTCTTCAGTTCCATGCCTTTGCAGTAGTTTGCAATTAGTGAACTTTGATCCCGATCGAGTGTACTCAATTACATAGCGATCTATATCGGGATCAAAGTTCGGTTTTTATGTACTGTTTCCGTCTTAAAGTACTGGCAAACTTTCAACAGTCGTTCTTTTAAATATTTAGAGACTTCTTTACATAAATGCACTTGTCCAATCGGACAAGTGCCAGCAATATTCACTTGTCCGGTTTTTTTTTCACTGGCACCGGACAAGCGTTAATGTCAAGCCCTGAAATGACAAATACCTTCATTTGTATGATACAGGTGGGAACGGACATTCTGCTGACAGAGTCAGAGGCCATTTTTGTGTCGACTCTCCAATCAAAGTCTACTAGTCGCGGCAAAGATACTGCAAATATAAAGTAAAAAGTTCAATCAGGTATAAATAGTTTACGATTTAACTTGAATAACAGTACAGTTCACTATGTTATGAATTGCATTACAATTTGATATTAATGAAACATTAATTTCATTTTCATGCATTATCTATGATTTATTTGTTTAACATACCCACTGTACATTTAAATACACAACTATACCTTGGTTACTAATGGAATGGTTTTTCCAGTTGTTCATGTTTTCCAGAGCAATTTTTGCTATTAAATCCCGAAGATTCTTGTGGAAGTCCTCTGAAATCAAAATATTCAACTGTTTAAATTTTGTAAAAATTTGAAGAAGGTAGGAATAAACAAAAGTTAAAAAAGATTGCAAATTTCAAAGACTAATCAATATACATGTAGCTACATGTATATAATATATTTATTGTACTAACTTTATAGTTTCAAACACATTTAACAGAAACATGCACATACAAGGTTTTAAGTGGTTTATCAGAAATGGCTCTGGGCTAGTCTGCAGTATTTTACTTATACAACTATTTACTGGCTATGAGGACAATAGCAAATTTATTGTCCCCCCAAGACAACAATTATTTCCCGAGGTACAGCAGAGGGAAATAGTTGCTGTCAAGGGAACACTATTGCCAATATAAACAAGTAATTCTTCTAACTATAGAATAAATCAAAGAGAATCCCATTATCATGAGAATTCAAGGTTTTGTTAACCTACCTTACTATCAGAAAAATTATGAATGTACAAATATACAAGAGGCCCAAGGGCCTTAACGGTCACCTGAGTATAATACAACACTTTAATGGATCCACAGAAGTATAAAACAAAATTAACTGATAGCCAAAGCAATGTTGCCCAAGAATTTCAAAAATCTGGTAAAAATACCCTTGCTTATTGTAACGTGCTAGACCCGTGTGATCTCCTTGGAATCATACTTGGTTTCCCAAGTCTTACAGGGATGATAATGAATGCAAAATATACAAATACAACAGACACTTGCCTATTGTGTAAGGTATTCAATATATACAGATATGTTTTTGTCACTTGCCTAGTGCTACAATTCAGTACACACCGAATTGGGTATACAACGTGGCTATTTGCCACTTGTCACTAATTACAATATAAGTCACCCTGGCTCTCTGTGATTCTTTGTTTACTTTGATAAAATATATAACAACTATATCCAGACTCTTGTCAACCATGACTCTTCTACCAGTGACAATAACTTATGTAATCACAGTGTAAACATACTGTGTACAATTACAACTTTTGCTAAATATATAAATAATCTTTATGCCAATCTTTTATACTGCTTTCCAGGCAAGAATCTGACTTGAGCATGCTTTGCTCATTTAAACTAAATATTTATTTTTAGTTTGTTTATATATATATATATATATATATATATATATATATATAAAACATTCTTTCTTGTATTCTCATTCAATCAAATAACCTGTTAATTAAATTATATACAAGGATTTCTTGATTAACAACATCTAGCAAAGGGGAGTAACTCTCATTTGCCTTACTACTCTGTTTGCCTCCTAGATACCCAGGAGTAAAGAAAAGGCACATTTACTTTTAATTATATTTAATACATTTACATTGATATTTTTGCATTTAGTTTGTTTGCTAAGTACTCAGGGGCAGAGGAGAAGATTTTCAAAGCATTAAGAGCCCCACCCAAGCACAAAAACCCCTAATTCAGGGGCCATGAAATTTACAATTTTGGAAGAGGCACCCTTTCTCATCAAAACTATTATATAGATTGTTTAATTAATATCAAGGGGAAGAGGAGAAGATATTCAAATTTATTCATTCACAGTATATAATAAATAAGCCCCCCCCCCACATGGAACCCCTGACCCAGGGGCCATGTAATTCACAATTATGGAAGAGGCAATCTTCTTCATCATAACATGTACTTAGTTCATCAGCTTACCGGTAATATCCATGAGCAGAGGAAAAGATTTTCAAAGCATTAATTTATTTTCAGCATATAATAAATAAGCTCCCCCCCCCACCACATGGAACCGCTGACCCAGGGGCCTTGAAATTCACAATTTTGGAAGAGGCACTCCTCCTTATCATAACTATGTACTTAGTTCATCGACTTAATACCCAGGAGTAGAGGAGAAGATTTTCAAGGAATTAATGCATTTTCACTATATAATCAATAGAGCCCCGCCCTAACACCAGAACCCCTGACCCAGGGCCATGAAATTCACAATTTTGGAAAAGGCATCAATGCTTATCATAACCATGCACTTAGTTTGTTAATATAATATCCAGTAGCAGAGAAGAAGATTTTCAAAGAAATAATGCACTTTCACTATATAATCAATAGAGCCCCGTCCTAATACCAGAATCCCTGACCCAGGGGCCATGAATTTCACAATTTTGGAAAAGGCATCATTGCTTGTCATAACCATGCACTTAGTTTGTTTACATAATACCCAGGAGAAGAGAAGAAGATTTTCAAAAAAATAATGCACTTTCACTATATGATCTATATAGCCCTACCCTAGCACCAGAACCCCAGACCCTGGGGCCATGAATTTCACAATTTAGGTAGAGGGCCCAATGCTTATTACAATCATGCCAACAATTTAACTGCTTGATGTCCAGGAGTAAAGAAGAAGATTTTTAAAAGATTGCATCAATTTTTTGGTGGTTTTAGCCCCACCCCTGGGGCCCAAGGGGGGCAGGGGCCATGATATTCACAATTTTTGTTCCTCTTCACCCAAAGATGCTATATGCCAAAATTGGTTGAAATTGGTTGAGCGGTTCTAGAGAAGTTGAAAATGTTCAAAAGTTAACACACGACAGACGACGACAGACAAAAACGGATAGCAGTTGACCTAATAAGTATACTTTAAACTAGATATTACCAGGTATTCGTAATTATACTTTCATTTGATATTCTTTAGTTTGAATTCCATCCGTCAGACTATGAAATTTTTTGATTGAGAAAACATTATACATACTAGCATGTTAAACAATAAAGAAATGGTTGGTGGCAATAATTATTCTCAAGTAAACGAAGGTTGCAAAACTTGTGGCTAATTCTTTTACACCAATAACACTGTGTAGAAACGGACTAGGGTAAAGTGTACGTGTTACCCTAGTCCAAGATGGCGATATGCAAAAATGCTTCAAATTTTCTCGTACAAAAATTGGTGATTTCTAGCTTAAAGTTTTACTTTATTTTGCACCAATCTGTCGGGCAGCTTCAGTTTTACATGCTTGCATGGAGATTGTATTCAACTTTAGCGTAATTAAAAAGAAAATGCGCGTCAAAGTTTTGCTGCAGATTAGGGTAAAGTTTCTGAACGATTCATTTACGATTAGGGTAAAGTTTTTTCGAGACTAGGGTAAAGTTATTTATTCTACAACCTGATAGTGCACAATTTTGTTTTTTTAACTGCTTAAGACAATTAATATAGTTGGAAAAGGCTTTCTCGAACGTGTTCAAGAACTGTTGCTTCCACAATGATATTATACCGGTTGTTATTTTTTTTAATAACCACAATTTCCATACAAAATAATACTCTTATTATGAACGTTATATTTTCCGTTTCATGTACATGTATTATTTTATTGTTAAATAAATATACATGTATAAATGATGTAATGAATTTATTTGATTTAACTTTCAGTATTGTTTCCTGTATAAATCTAAATCTACTTTGCATCTTTTAATCCCCACTTTGAGTGAAATCATCAAAAATTACTCATCAACCTATATGTCTAATTTGCATTTGATGATACTCGACAGTGACGGAATGTTAAAGCTGAATTACGGGTAATTGAAATAAACTTTTATCAACTGAAATGCAAAAATAACAAACAATATTTATGCTCAAAACCCTATTAAACAATACAAATTGTGAATTGAGCAAACAAGGACCTCGGAAAACATCAGAAGTGAGATCAGGTGTCATGGGGAGTAGGCATCTTTCGATTGGTCACCTCCGCCATGTATCCTTTGTTGTAATCAGATAAACGGAAATTGTGTTCACAATTCAGTAAGAAAATAATGAACTAATAATTTACATGAAAGTCATTAGTCAACATTTGAGTTAACAACATAATATATTTGCTAACAAGATCATTGCATTGACCACAGAATTTGCGAAATGTTAGCTTTTAAACGAAATCATTGATACCATTGTGTCATCAACTTATTCGTCATTAGTCTGTCTCGCTTTAGATATTGTTCATACGATAACATGCTTTTGCTCATAGAATCCACTGACGAAATAAACCCTATATGCAGGAAAAATGATATATTGCTTCATAAATATGGGAAATTGATGAAAGAAGAGTTGGAGTCGTCATGTTTATCATAAACTTTTAAGCTTTGGTTTTAGTTTATTACCATCAATGTCTTTTTTGAGTAAACATCCAAATATGTAATGTGTCAGAATATGTGGTGTCTTTTATTGAGTTTAATGGGACATAACAAATCAATGCTTAAATGTTTATTGACAAAGCGTCATCAATATATCTAATTGTTAATCTGGAAGTCACAGCAAGAGACTTTTTTTACACTATAGATCGCAAACATGGAAACAAGTGTCGGATGTTGTTTTAAAGTATAATTATAATGTAAATTGTGAAGATATCAAACACTGATAAATCTCATTAATCTGTAAACAAAACGAAACAGACAAATGTGCAATGATGAGGACATAGCCCTTATAAAATGATTTTGAGAAATATGATGTAATATAGTAGTCGAACTAAACACCTCCATCACAAAAGCGCGCACTTTTTGTTCGGAAAGACTTTCTATGCGTTGCTGAAAGATTGAACTTAAGTGTTCTGATTTTCTAAGAATAATTTATTGAATGCTTGAGTACCAAATGCTTTTTTTCTGAGTTAAGAATATTTTATGTACTTATAAAGGTGCAATTTTTATGAAAAAACTTGCACAAGTTTTCTCAATCTAAGCTCAGTTTAATCTGCATTTATCTTACTTCTGACAAATGCTTTTGTTTACCTCAGTTTTCTCAATAGGAACAGCAAAGTTTATTTTGCCCGTTTTTCTCAGTCTAGGATTAAGGCGTAAAAGTGCTAGTAAAATAACATTTTCTGTATAATATGCAAATCTAAAAACAAAAAAGTAAGAGAGAGGGAGAAAGAGTATACACATAAGTTGATGATACAAGATATCAACCATCTCGTTTAAAGTCAACATTTCACAAATTCCATGTTTGATACAATGACCTTGTTTGCAAAATTAACACAATCTATCGTTAGGTCAAATGTTTACTGACTTTTTTCATATGAATTGTTAGGCCATTTTTTTCATTTACCTGATCATGACAGAGTACACGGCAGGATTTACCGGTGGACAGAGTATGTTCATTCCTCCATGCCACCTCTGTTTTCACTTTTCAGAGGCCCATATTTGCTCTTCTCATAATTTGTATCGTTTAAATTGGATTTTGGGTATGATTTCTGTTAATTTTTTTTCACATGTCATTGATGATACTATAATTGATCTGTAGATATTTGAAAAGTTTTTCGCCATATCTAAATCAACAGAACACTGTTTTCAAGACTTAATTTGTTTTATAAACAGAAACCTAAAGTGATTTGAACAAAATTAGTCCACTGAACTTTCCAAAAAATGTCAGCGCACTGAGAATTTTTCAATTACATAGTTTTAGGTGCAATGAATTATGAATTTACTGGCAGAATGCGTTTTGAGTCTGCTGAAATAGCATTTTTTTAAAACCCTGAAACAGGCAAAATGACATTTTACACATGCTTCACCCTAATCACTCAAATAGGTCACAAAATCTTTACCCTAGTCATAAATTTGCGTTACCCTAATCTTGATCAAATTTTCTACTCGTAATTTGGCTTTAACCAGCACAGATCATGCAAAATTTTTGCAATAGCTACGTACTTCTATATAAAATAATTAAACTAAAACCATCCATTACATAATGTAAGCCTGTATAATGTGTAAACTGAGTGCAAAATAATCGAAGCGTATTTGTCTGTCGCCATCTTGGAGTAGGGTAACGCACTTTACCCTAGTCCGTTTCTACACAGTGAATAAAAGTTGGTTTACGGTAAGTCTGCTGACTAGATGTGTTTACCAGCCATGAACTTACTTGGAAATAAGCTTTGTATTTCTTGGGCTTCTGAGTATCCATGAAATATTATGGTTTTTAAGAGTGATGAGAGGGATTCCATCATCTGAAATATATAAACAAGAATTGTATGTAACCTTCAAAATTGTCAAACTATTGAAACATCTAAATAAAATCTTAGTTTTGCATTCTACTTATTCTCCTTTGAAGTTTTTATTTTATTTATTTATTTATCTATTTTTTTTTTTTTCTGGTTGTTTATTTTGTTTTTTTTAATTTTTTTTTCGTTTGTTTTTTCTTTAATTCAATTCATGTTTCTTTAAGGACCCTCTATACACTGCACACTGAAGAGTTTTAAGATAATAAAACATTTTAGAATCCTTATGCAATGGATTACTACAATTAGTTATGATTAAATTTCACACAAACAAACACAAACAAGCATCAACTTTAGTTGCGCATATTTTTTATCAAGGGTGATAACCCAAATAACATCAAAAATATAGTCAACATAGTTATTGTTCTTAATTATTACACTTAGTATACTTGATTCTGATGATTTAGCCCGCCCAGCTAAACCAGCAACACACTTGATTGTGAGCCGGTATTGTACACAAATCATGCAGGGTGAGCTGAATGAGCTGGTACAAGAGGCTTCAACATGGCATCATAGTTGATAGTAGTATTGAAATAAACATTTTCATTAGTGAATAGAGGATCCTTAATAAATTATACATATTAACATTCTACTTCTAGAAAATACTATTTCTGGCATGATAAAAACAGGATTTGATTATCACCTATGTTTTTCATTTAAAGAACATGTAATTTCTCTTTGTGTCGAGTTAAGAACCACCATGCAGATGTTCTGTTCAGTAGCAAATATATATGAAAAGACAAATCAATTACAAGTGTCAGAGATTTACACATGTAAATGTTTCTATTTACCATCTAAAATATCACAGCAATTTCCATGTACTTTTTAAAACCAGTAATATCATTGATTGTCATTTTCTTGTGACCCACTTATCCTTTCAACTCTAATACAATGTAACTTTATAATTAGCTTCATTAAGAGCTAGACATTAACTTTCTAATTGTTTTTATACTGAAATTAAAATCCCATTTTATATAATCAAACCACAATTTTCTTATGCCGTCATAAAGTTGCATAAACATAACAAAGTACCTTGTGGTTCTATTTCTCATTCCCAGATTCAGAATTTTGGACAAATTTGGAAATAAAAAAGAAAAAATCCCCAAACCACTCCTAAAGTTTGCAGGTTGGAAACTATAGGGAACAATTTCTGTCAAATAACAAGTCTATCGTTTGTTTCTACCTGTTTTGTTTGATTTGGACGGGTTCCTAAAACGTCACACACACTGGAAACCAGCACATCAGAGATGGGGGAACTAGTCAGGTAAACATCATTGCAGACCTTAACCACTTGGTCCTTGGATGGAGCCTGGAAATCAAAAAGAAATTAAGAATTTCCTGATTCTGATCATCCAATCCAATCTTCTGAAAGAGGGAGGGGGTAACTTTAAAAAGAATTGAATCTGTATTTCATGGCGACGTTTATTTGGCAAACTGTGTCCTGCTAGCACTGTTCTTATTAGAAAACTAGCTTTCACAGATTTTCCCCAATATATTTCTCTATCATGTCTATTGTTGTTCAACTCTTACCTGCAGGGATCATGAATTAACATGAGAGAACACTGCATATATTTTAATTTAACTTGTGGGGTAATCATAATTTTTACACATTATTTCAGATTTCAGAGTACTTGTAAAAGCAGATGTTTTTTTTTATTGTCAAATTCATGTGTCCTCAACGTCTGAAGTTAGAGGTAGAATTTATTATGTATGCATGTCTCTAACAGACTGGCCCAATGGTTCAAGTCTTTACAAAGGATATTGCAGAAGGCAATAAGAAGAGAATGTTCTCTAAACTGAATCTTGCATGGGATGGTGTGTTTTATCTACTCTTATGTATAAACTGTGATGCTGAGTGAACATTAGGCTAAATATGAAGGTAAGTTTGACTTCTTGTTCAGCTCAACAAATCTGAATCCACTTTAAATACTGAATCTATCAATGACATGTAGTTCTGGAAAAGAAGTCAAAAGTGTTAAATTTACTAACAGACACAAATAAAGTGTACAAACTGTGATCAGATTTCCCCATTTAATCACTTGGCACAGGTAAGGTAAAACAATATTGTATCTGCACAGTAGTAGATTTCAATGCAACTGAGAATTTTATGTAAAATTTGATAGATAAATTTTCTACCTCAAATATCAGTAAAATAAATAACATATTTATATTATTTGGATACTGTTGTGTATACATGTACCAGTAGTAGCATATGTTTATAGGTAATTAACCCACTGATTTTCCTTTAAGCATGTTAAATGTAAGTAAGAGATATGTTCACATCCTACCAAATTTTACTTTGAGGGCTGATAATAATATTCCACTTAGAGCATCAGAATCAGCTTAAATGAACATCATCCATTATCCTTTGTCTTAAAATTTATAAGTAAAATAAATGCCAATAATTCATGATGAAAAAGCATTTAATTATTGGTGAAATAAAACCTGCTAAAAACACATGACATCAATTATCAGCCTGATAACCATTTCCATGGCAACTTGCTGTCTGAGATCAGAAATCTTCAAGAAGTCAGTAAAATAATCAATGACCACAACAAAATACATGTGTAATTCAATTGTCTTATATTCTATATTATCATATAGAATATAGAAATTCAGTTTGACTAAAATTTATCTGTTTAATAATAAAGTAAAGGCCAAAAGTCACTAATGTACTTGAAAGTATACCAGTTGTCAAAGATTATAGTTCTATGACAGCCCATCACAGGATTGCAAATAACCACTCACAAATGCGAGTAATTTTGCCTGTGGGTGACCAACTCTTGAGGATATTATCGCCCAAATAGCGAGTAAGAATTTCATCAGACATTTTCCAGAACCTAATCATAGTTTGGTTCCACTATTAAACGTACTTTCGTTTTCACCGTTTTCTTCCTATAAAATATTTTCATGAACCAGGCAAACGTTTTACAAAAGAACTTACAACTGAGAATAAAATTTAATAGAATTCTGCTGATAACTTTCTAATTTACATTAAATTGAAAATAGTTTTAATCTTTTTAAAAGGGATCTAGAAAGATATTTAACTCTAGCAATTTTAAACAGAATTATTAATTTTGCAAAATTTTACAATCAACTAAAAAGTTTTTGGTCTTAGCTGTCATAAGTTCTTTTGTTAAACAGGCCCCAGAATCGTATCGATGAAGTGCTTCCTTGAAAGTATGAAAATTCATTTATGTATCAACGGTAGCGGGTTTTAGTCCAATTAAGGTGCACACTGTGTATTAATCACAATTTAATAGCAGTTTTATATTCATTAATTTTCCTCCTTAAATTAAAATGTTTTCTAATTTTTTGCTGCTACCATGTAAAAATATTTCACATTATGAACTTTGAAAGTTGGTAAAGTATGCTTTCTGTCGGTAAAGTATGCTTTCTGTAATTTTATGATAGAAACATTTAATTAAAAAAAAATATCTTGAAGTGAATGAAAACATGGAATTCCATACAATTGGTTTCGAAATCCCTGGGAAAAATGAAATTAAAGACTGTGGACAGGAATGTATTTGGTATTATCATAAGAAATGATTTTTTTTTACCAACTGAACTGTAAATAGTGGGCTAGTAAACTATAAATGTGGGCTAGTAAAACTTGTGAAGTTGGGACCCCACATAAGCCCTAAGTTTAAAATGCTATTTGCAACCCTGCCATCAGAATATGCTTCAAATTTATACACAGAGTTTTCAACATGTTCAAGAATATTATTATTGCATAATGAATACATGCAGTATCTGGTCATTAATGATTCATATTAATTTTATTATTTTTTTTTTTACTACATATTTCATTGAAAAATGCCTTTTCTCAAAAAAGAATTGCAACTTTAATATTTGTGGATCTTTTTTTTTACAACCATAGCATCATAAAATGCAGAATATTTTGCATTTCTTCACATATTTTTTACAAATAATTTTATCAGTAGGCTCTATGGTGATATCACATGCAAAATGCAAAATCAAATGTTACGACTCAAATTTGTTAAGAAATGCTAATTGTAATTTGAGGTTAGAAATTTCAGAAATTATTCTCAATGATTAGTGTATCAATTTGCTTTATAGCAGCTTAAGAGACAAGAAAATTTCGACAATTCTTCATAATTATTAAAGTGAAAAAAAAATACAGTTGACAATCTTATCATTTACAAATAAATAGATTTACTTTAAACTGAAAGTAGCCATGTTTCATAACATTTTCTTGTAGTATTTTTCAGCCTTTCTCTTACTGTAAATTCTTCTTTCATTAGTTTGTAAGAGCAAAAAATATGCACTGTCAGTGCAAAATGTACGTTTTATAGGTACAAATTTCAATGTCAGTCAGAGTTTGTACAGGCTGATATAGGCCATCATTATTTGCAGATAAAGAAAAATCTCTCAATTTGGCTTGAAGTTTCTATGTAAGGTTTAAGTTTAAAATAATAAAATAAAGCTTGATTTAGCAATTTTAACAAAAATCTGCAACTCGTTAGAACTGGATTAAAAGTTACCATTTTCTTTATGTCCCAAAAGTTAATACTTGAATTCCATAAAGACAGGTTCGGTACTACACAATCTTTTGATTTAGCTATCAAACTTAAATTAGGTTTATAGCTATTTCAAGCTATATAGATACATGTAAATCAAAAGACTGCACTTTAGAGTTACAGAATTTCTTCTCTATAGCAGGGACCTATATATATGTCCCTGTCTATAGTTATAATTTGTTGGTGAAGTTAATGTTGGTTTCTGCTATTTCTCAGTCCTGGAATAACTAAAATTTGTATATAGTCCGAAAACAAGGTGTATAGTCAAATGGGCATTGTTAATTGTTTATTCGGGGGGGGGGGGGGGATATACATCTTCACACAACTCATTATAACATGCATATTGAGCAACATATGACTAATAAGATAGGGTAAAATTATTCTCCGCATTGTCCTATATTTACAAGAAATTTAACTAAACTGTTACAAAAACAAGTTATTTAAAATAAGAGAAAAACCTTCATCAGTAGCTCAAGAGCACCAAAATCACAGTGGGCTGCCATTTTGACAATCACGTGCTTTACAAAAAATCCCCATTTAAAAATAGCGAAATTTCATCCAACCAATCAGTCATGCAGGTAAAATACATGTGATCAAAAGCGATTTTTTCATTTCAGCCAATTAGATCAAAGTAAGTATCACGTGGTTTAAAACAACGACAGCAATCCGGCGGGAAGTTTGGTCGTCTGCGTACCCATATTACCTCAGCATTTTGTAAATAAAGACATAAGTTAGGAAACATACCAATATGCCAGGAGAAAAGTAAGTATTTTGTCAAGTATTATATTATTTACCGTCTTCTTTTCGATTATTAACATAAAGGAGACGATGTTCCATTCAATTTTTGTAGGTTTACTGGAAAACATGCCGGTTTTGCATGGTTTTCCTTTGTCTTCCTTGTCGGCTTCTTTGTTCTCAGATTGTGATAAAAGTGAGGTCGATTGAAATTAAATTGTTTCACTACGTAAAAGTAATGCTAAATTATTGATGATGTTGACATTTACTCAGCTTAAAGTAACATGCATGTTGATAAATATGTTAATGAGGTCAGGGAGATGAGTAATTTATGAAGAAAATGTAGGCGATGCCCGCCATTATCGGTTTTCGCTTTGTGATTCGCTTAAGAACACGGATGCAATTTAAAACCCAAATGCGTTAGATCGAGATAAGCGCATTGTGAAACAAAGTGAACATACCTTTATTGTCCGTTAGGGAAGTAGTTAGAGTAGACCATGTGCGATGAAACTAAGAAGACTGGAAAAAGTAAAGTGTCTCTTTGTAGTATATGGTAGTTGGGACTTGGGCACCTCGTAGTCGAGCATTGTATTAAACTTTCATTGGGGGGAAATATAGATATCTGTGTATTTCTTAAAGACTTGTTTTGCAAATTTTTAGGGAAACTACAACTGAGGAAGTTCAGACTTCCGAGACCACAGAGACTAAAACAAAGGAAGTCAAAGAAGTAGAAAAAACGGAAGAGAAAGAAGAGGTATTATAAAACTACTAAAATAACAGCATCAAACAGATGGTTGTTTTAAGGGTTTTTTAAAAAAAAAATGTTAACAATTGTAATACTGTTGCATGGAAAGGGATGTGTGAGGTGGGGGTGAGATTTTATACAGATGTTGGTAAATTTTACTGAAAAATAAATTCATGATTCAGGCCACAACTGAAGAGAAAACAGAGGAGAAATCTGAAGAAACAAAGACAGAATCTGAAGAGAAGACAGATGAAAATGGTGACGAAAAGAAAGAGGACTCAAATCAAAATGCAAACACAGGTTTGTTACTTTGTTGAATTTATTAGAGGTGAACATAAGGGAGGGATACAATTTATTTGCAGTGAGAATGTGGACACTGATAAAATGTAAAGATAGCATTTACATTGCAGCCTCAAGTCTGAGGTCAAAGTTTTGGAATTAACAAAAAAAATGGATTTATTGGTAAAGAATAACAGAACTATAGCATGGAAATTAAAAAATGTATTGTGGATAAAAATGATTAATAATAATAAAAGAAAAAGATAAATAATTGCAGTAAAGTAGAAATAGTTTTTAATAAATAATAAATACCTCTGATTTGCTCAAACTCCTGTTTAGGCCAAATAAAAAAATATTTGTGGTTCCGGTTACCTGACCTTCCCTATTTTATACCTCCGACCCTAAACTTTTTTTTGGCAATTTTCATATTTTTTTTTGGGATTTCCCCCGATTTCCATCAATGGCTCCAGTTTAAGTTTTAGTTTCAGCAATGACGGCCTCCTTGCAAAACATAGTGCAAGTGTTTAATAGTGTTAAATCCAAAGCAAGCTAGCATGTAGGTGTCCCCTACCATTATTGACTAGTATATTATCACAACACATCTAAATGCCATTTGCAAAGCAGTGATAGGTATTATTTAGAAAAAAATGAAGAAAATCATTTTGTTTAAAAAAAAAAAAAAAAAAATACCTACCTACCTACCCTAATTTTTTTGGAAGTGTAACTGGAACCACACATATTGTTTTGTTTGGCCTTATCTTGAAAATGCACATTTTTCATACAACTGGGCTTTAAGATTGATTCTGCATCAGTTATGAAATGAAATTGTTATACTAAATGACATGCATTTGAAAGGTTGTTTAACCTTTCTTTGTAAAAGACAATATACAAGCCTAATGTGCTGGTACCCAGTACTTTTACCCAGCTAATCATGAATGTACCAGCCAAAATTTTCATTGGAAAATATTTGGTAACAAAATCACATCTTCAAGATACCTCCTATTTTTGAAAAGGTACTGCCTGTTTCTTTTTGAGAGCCCCAAATTTAAAATGTACATGTATCTTATTTTAGTAACAGATGAGACCTCAGTTGAAAAGAGAACGTCGGAAGAAGATTCAGAGGAGGCCAGTCCGACCAAAAAAGTGAAAAAAGACGAGGCAGCAGAAGGCGAACAACCTCAAGTGGAGGCAGCATCAGCCTAGATCTCTTCATTACATTTCATTTCATCTGAACTGTATCAAATCATGTTTTTTATATGTTGTCTTGTATTTTTAAGATCATACCCATGTTACTTATTTAAGGATCAAGTGGAAGGACTGTAATTGTTTCAACATTTTTACGTTGGTGTTAATGACAGTAAATATAGTCTAGTTACGGTAATCCTGTCTTGTTGTAATTTGGTTAGGCCATCTTTAGATATGTTTGTTTGCCCACTCCCAACTCGGTGTAAACATAATGGGTCGGTTTGTAGGTGGGAAATTTTTTTTTTCACAGGAAATCTCCATGTACATATTGACAGAATGTGAACATTAAAAAAGAAAAAAATATTGTTTCATGGAGGTTAAACAAAAGTTTTGAGTCAAGTTATGTTTAGTCAGTAGGCAAACCAGCAATTTTTAGGTCACCTGAGTCACTCAGGTGACCTATTGCTATCCGTTTTTAGCTCACCTGAGCCGAAGGCTCCAGTGAGCTTTTCTGATCACATTTTGTCTGTAGTCCGTCTGTCTGTCCGTCCGTCCGTCTGTAAACTTTTCACATTTTCGACTTCTTCTCAAGAACCACTGGGCCATTTTCAACCAAACTTGCCACAAAGTATCCTTGGGTGAAGGGGATTCAAGTTTGTTCAAATGAAGGGCCACGCCCTATTTCAAGGGGAGATAATGAAGAATTAGTGAAAAATTAGTAGCATCTTTTAAAAATCTTCTTCTCAGGAACCACAAAGCCAGGGAAGATGAAACTCATGTGGAAGCATCCTCAGGTAGTGTAGATTCAAGTTTGTTCAAATCATGACCCCCGGGGGTAGGGCGGGGCCACAGTGGAGGATCAAAGTTTTACATAGAAATATATAGGAAAAACCTTTAAAAATCTTCTTCTCAAGAACAGCAAAGCCATGATGAGTCATATTAATATGGAAGCATCCTCAGGTAGTGTAGATTCAAGTTTGTTCAAATCATGACCCCCGGGGGTAGGGCAGGGCCACAATGGAGGATCGAAGTTTTACATAGAAATATATAGGAAAAATCTTCTTCTCAATAACAGCAAAGCCATGATGAGTCATATTTATTTGGAAGCATCCTCAGGTAGTGTAGATTCAAGTTTGTTCAAATCATGACCCCTGGGGGTAGGGCGGGGCCACAATGGAGGATCAAAGTTTTACATAGAAATGTATAGGAAAAACCTTTAAAAATCTTCTTCTCAATAACAGCAAAGCCCTAATTGGTCATATTTATATGGCAGCATCCTCAGGTAGTGTAGATTCAAGTTTGTCCAAATGATGACCCCTGGGGGTAGGGCGGGGCCACAATGGAGGATCAAAGTTTTACATAGAAATATATAGAAAAAATCTTTAAAAATCTTCTTCTCAATAACAGCAAGCCCTAATTTTCATATTTATATGAAAGCATCCTCAGGTAGTGTAGATTCAAGTTTGTTCAAATCATGACCCCCCGGGTGAAGGGCGGGGCCACAATGGAGGATCAAATTTTTACATAGAAATATATAGGAAAAATCTTTAAAAATCTTCTTCTCAGGAACAGCAAAGCCCTGATTGATCATATTTATGTGGAAGTATCCTCAGGTAGTGTAGATTCAAGTTTGTTCAAATCATGACCCCCGGGGGTAGGGCGGGGCCACAATGGAGGATCAAAGTTTTACATAGAAATATATAGGAAAAATCTTTAAAAATCTTCTTCTCAATAACAGCAAAGCCATGATGAGTCATATTTATATTGCAGCATCCTCAGGTAATGTAGATTCAAATTTGTCCAAATGATGACCCCTGGGGGTAGGGCGGGGCCACAATGGAGGATCAAAGTTTTACATAGAAATATATAGGAAAAACCTTTAAAAATCTTCTTCTCAAAAACAGCAAAGCCCTAATTTTCATATTTATATGAAAGCATCCTCAGGTAGTGTAGATTCAAATTTGTCCAAATGATGACCCCTGGGGGTAGGGCGGGGCCACAATGGAGGATCAAAGTTTTACATAGAAATATATAGAAAAAATCTTCTTCTCAATAACAGCAAAGCCCTAATTTTCATATTTATATGAAAGCATCCTCAGGTAGTGTAGATTCAAGTTTGTTCAAATCATGACCCCCGGGGGTAGGGCGGGGCCACAATGGAGGATCAAAGTTTTACATAGAAATATATAGGAAAAATCTTTAAAAATCTTCTTCTCAATAACAGCAAAGCCATGATGAGTCATATTTATATTGCAGCATCCTCAGGTAATGTAGATTCAAGTTTGTTCAAATCATGACCCCCCGGGGGTAGGGCGGGGCCACAATGGAGGATCAAATTTTTACATAGAAATATATAGGAAAAATCTTTAAAAATCTTCTTCTCAATAACAGCAAAGCCATGATGAGTCATATTTATATGGAAGCATCCTCAGGTAGTGTAGATTCAAGTTTGTTCAAATCATGACCCCCGGGGGTAGGGCGGGGCCACAATGGAGGATCAAAGTTTTACATAGAAATATATAGGAAAAACCTTTAAAAATCTTCTTCTCAATAACAGCAAAGCCTTAATTAGTCATATTTATATGGCAGCATCCTCAGGTAGTGTAGATTCAAATTT